ATACGTTCACCCTGTTATACATTGAGTTTTTTTTTTCTTTTTCTTTTTTTGCTCTAATTATACACTGTGATATAACACTAAATGATATTAAATTTTAACTATGGAATTATAAGCTAGGGAGAAAAAACGCGTTTTTTCCGACGTTATGGACAAAATATAAACTAACTAAATTTGAATAAAATTATTTGTGAAAATTCCGTTCTTTTTTTTAATGCCATATTTGTACAAAATCATAAGTCATGCAACGCAAAATTTCATTTTGGTCGTTCGCTTATTTGAACGTGCAAAGAAACTAAACATTCGGATTGCAAAATAAACATATATATATATGTAAAACCGATCGTTTTGGATGGATATGAAAAAATTAAATTCAATATTAAGTGGAAAACAATATGGACTTTATCCTCATATACATATAAGTCAAAATTTGGCCGTTTTGGTCTTGTTTGACGAGTTAACTTCTTTTCGTCGAAGTTTTAAAAACATGCTGATAATTTACACATTATTAAAGCGGTATAAACAATAAATCAACAATCATCAACTTTTCATCCACTTTGCCTGAAAGAACGTACAGAATCTTGGTCTTCAGCTTATCGCTAGCTAAAAATGCCGGAATTAAAACAAGTAAAAATCTCTAGGTCATATTTAGGTTGGACGAACTGAACACATCGGTCAACGACAGCAACCATGAGTTAAGCAACACTGAAAAACTTCATGCTAGTTTAAAGGGCACTGCTTTGGATATAATTTCATCGTTGAAATCCAATGACACGTAACAATGTCAAGGCCACTGATTTATTTAAAAAATGATTTAACAATAAATAAACCTCCTGACTTTCAGATACAAACTAATTCAGTCACCAGCTAAAATCCATATGCCTACGACGTAGTCGATGTACTCAAACGGGCAAGTTGCTGATGGATTTCTACTATATTCAACTACTTCAAATCTTAATGGACAATCATCTGCTAAATGGGAAGAGCCTCTGTCAATTGACAAGCTTGCATCATAGTCTACAATGGAATTAGTTGTAGACAAGTGCCGCATGTAAGAAAATAGAGAAAGTTCTTAGACAGGCAATTTGGAATTGGCATGTAGTCAGGAAAAAGGCTGCATCAAGTGGTCGGAGTGCTCTAGTGGCCGCCACGGCACGCTCATGTTCTTGTACGTTGTGCGTGTGCCGAAAACACTTCATTACTAATTGCTCTCATTTTGGGAATTTAAACCCATCACAAGTGCATAAGAAGACCAAAGATTGAAATTGCGCATCAATGGCTTAAGAAAGGCGCACACATTTAAAAATTAAAATTTTGACCATTTCGCAACAAAGCATCATTTATTAGTGCTCTTCGCTAATACTGTCGCCGAGTCCACCCCAATTTTGCCTAAATCTACAGAAGAGCGTGCTACTTCTATAAGAACAAATACGTTACTAGCTGCAACAGCGATCATAAAAGAGATAGCAAGGCAAGGTTTTTCTGTTGATGCCCTAATTTCTAGTGGTAGAAATCTACTATAGTTTATCTTTACGACTCCATAGTTACTATAGCTATTCTACGCGACCACCTCGATCTAATTAGTCCCACAATTAGAAGGGTCATAATAGTTATGCATATTTTGTAAAAAACTATCCGTGATGAAATGAAAGCTTATCCTAACCGTTGCATTTAGTATGGATGGTTTAGTTTCGAAATTTTCCATCGTGCAGAGGCTCATTTTCCGTGGTTCGTATCGATATTACAAACAATAATCTACAGATCCAAATTAAACGGTCATTATAAAAATGTCATGTCCGACGTCATACATGGCACGGGCGATAACCCGTGCAATTCGAACTTCGAATTATCAGGTGCACTGCGATTATCGAAGCTTCTAAGCAGCTTCATCGGTTCATTTTCCAATGAGTCTGAAATTCACTATTTGCCGGATTTCATGATCGTTTTATTATAAGTGTGAGCATTCACCAAAGTTTAACATATTTACAGCTAACAGGATATTTCTTATCAGTAAAATGACTTCACGTTACGTTTAAACTAGTTTTGTCCAGATTTTCAAAGAAACAATTTTTTTAATTAGCCAAAAAATCTTAATTAAATGAGATTTGCCGGAAATAAAGCGTACCGCCTTGCCTTCTTTCGTTTTTGCGTTTTGTGATAAAAAAAAACAAAACCATTTAAGTAAACAAAAAAAAGACCGGAAAATGTTGAAATACCACGAGTACGCCAAAGATATACATGTACTATAACTCTTTAAGGAGAAACGGATGCAAGGAATTTCTTACCGGACGGGATGATTTTGTGCCCATGGCTACTCTTTAGGGTTCAAAGCTGCACTCCAAGAACTTTCTCTTTTTTTCTATGCCATGAATTCCTAATAAATTAGCTGCTCAATTTTTAATAAATTTGGACTCTGCTTTTTATGGTCCTGTACTGCTAGCAAGCGTTTTTCCCAATTTATTTGATATTTCAGCACATTGTTTTTAATTATTATTATTTATTTTTCTTTTTTGGATTTCCTGTATTCTTTTGTAATTTTGTTCAAACAATTTTGCAATCCACTTAATTTTTATCCATTTTCCTCATTCCCGTTTTCGTTGTTCTAATATTTCGTTTCATTTGCAAACTTCATTTAAGAAGCTACAAAATAAGTCTTTTGTTCAAAAACACGGCTTTTCGGTTATTTGCCATTTTCAGGAAACACAACGATTTCAACAATAATGGCGGACACAGCGATGACCGATATAATAAAAAGAAAAATGGCTATCTTTATTTGTAGACGGCTATAAATGTATAATACCACGATAATCAATGCATAAAAAAGAACAACTACGACAATTTTGATCGCACAATTTGTTTGCGCTTCTGACTATTACATCTATCAACATTATAAACATTTGTACGAAAAATAAGGGTTGAAAAATTGCTTTTATGATTATATATTGCCTTCATTTGTAGAAATAAGGGTTGACGAAAGTATTTCAATAAAGAAGTTTACTAAGTGGACATTCATAATTTGATCGTATTTAAATTATTTCCTTTATCTTTTTTTAAAATTGTCCAATTAACACTATATATTAGTTTGGTGAAAAAGAAATCCATTATTTTTATATGAACTTCAGGACTTTATTTAACATGCTTTGGATTATCCGATTTGGGTCAAATATGCATCGTTTTATTGTATGATTTGTTGCCATTTTAAAGGTAACGTCAAAATGCCTTTCTCATAGAAGTCCAGGTCTCTATTTGCAAAAAACTCTAGTAATCGATTTTCACAATCCTCCCTAGATTCCAATTTTTTATCATTAAAGAAATTTTGCAATGTAAGAAAAAGACGATAATCGCTTGGTGGCAAGTCCGGACTGTATGGCGGATGCATTAAAACTTCCCAACCTAGCTCCCGAAGTTTCTGGCGAGTCACTGTAAATGTGTGTGGCCTAGCGTTGTCCTGGTGGAACACGACACCTCTCCTG